GGGCCAGCTGGTCTTGGATGGCCTCTCAAATGTCTGTGGCCTCTGCATCGCCTCCCATGGGAGGCTACCCGGACTATTTACATGATACGAAGCCTCCCGGCAGCAAGAGAGGGAAAGTCCTGATGCACAAGTGTGTCCCATTGGTCAGAGCAAGTCATGTGGCCAAGCCCACACTGTCAAGGGTGGAGGAACAGAGACGCCTTTGCAGATTGGACCTGTTCTGAATGGGAGCCAGGGATGCTAGCCCGGTCCGACCCAGGCCACCTCTCTGAATGAGACACCTGAGGTGTGGGCAGGCGTGGTCTTGTGCAGTTCACTTGCCCCAGGTCTGGACTTTTATTTCCACTGGTAGAGCAGGGATGCGGGTGTGAGGTTACTCAGAAGTATAGATCTGGGCTAATGGCATTACCCAGAATAGAGGGTTCTTGTTTCTGCTTTTGTCTGTCTCCCTTTTTCTGTGGCCTAAACTCAGTCCTGTTTTTCTTCCACCTCCTCCTGGTACAGAACGTCCGAGACTCATTCTTGCAACTGCTTCTTGTTGTCCTTCCCCACGTTCTTCAGGGGCAGAGCGGCCTGCCTCACAGGCAGAGGAAGGGGGTTGGATGGCCTGGTGACGGCGTGGCCTTGGGCCAGCTCCCTTCGCCCTCCCCTCCCCACCGTCTCTGTTTTCTTATTTCTGGGAGGTGGGTTTGTGAGGAATGGCTCTGAGGCCTTTTTGGCCCTGTCCTGCTTACAGGAAAGTGGTCAGCCTGGGCAGGTGTCCCCTGGGAGTCTGTCCCCTGGGACTTAGGTCATGCCTGGCCTCTTTGGGGAGGAGAGTGTTCTGGGTGGGTGCAATAGATTGGTTGCTAAAATGGTGCCAGTGCTACACACCCACGCACATCCATGCGTGCCCTGTGCAATGATATTTTGCAACTCTTTTCCATCAAGAAGTGGCATCTGTCTTCCCTCCACCCCCTTGAAGCTGCTTTGGCCAATGGAATGTGCTGGAAGTGACAGTGTGATTATTCTGAGCCCAGGCCTTAAGAAGCCTTGACTCAGTTGCTTCATTTCTTGCAGCCTGCTTCTGCTGTGAGAGCAAGCCTAGGCTAGCCTGTTGGAGGGTGAGTCATCCCAGGCGCGGCCGACCCAGACCAGCCAGCGCCCTGCCAGCCCACCAGCATGAGCCAGGCCAGCCCTGATCAGCCAAGCCCCAGCCAACCTATAGTTCGTGAAAAGTAATAAATGAGTGTTGTTTTCAGCCACTGTATTTTGGGGGGGCTTGTTACACTGCCGACACAGTAGGTGCTTGGGGTTTCTCTTGTGTGTGTCCTCACCATGAAACTGCACCACCACCGCGGGGCTGGGCACAGGCTCTAGAGTGAACTGCCGGGATCCGGTTTGGATCCTTGGTTCTGTCCCTGGGGTGATGATCTTGGTTCTCAGGGGACAGAGGAAGCAAAGTTGGTGGCTTTGGAAAGGAGGGGACAGTGAGGTGCCCAGGGTGAGCAGGTCCTTGCATGTGAGCTGGGTGAATATCACAACACAGCTCTAGCACAGAAATTCCTTTTTTAACTTAGTTTTTATTTTTTTAAGTCAAAGTTACATCTGTACCTGAACTAAAGAGTTAAATAGTTCGATGTGACGTATAAACACTAGTGGGCCTCCGCCTGTTCCCTTCTCCCCAGTTCCTGCTTCCGAGGCACAGGACTTTCAACGTAAAAAAGAAACAAAACAGCATATACACACGTTAATCCCTCTGAGTAGTGTGAGCACCTTGCCGTCGACTTCCTGCCACGGCGGACATAGCTCCTCATCCTCCTCCCCTCCCCACGCTCCTGCCTTCTCCCTGACCCTTGTATCCCAGAGTCCTTAAGTCACGATTTGGCGAAACTAACATTCACTTTTCACTTGCTATTATGACTTTGAAAATGCTATTCACCGCCGAGCTATGTCGAAAACCGCGCCAACTTCGACTTTCTTGCACAACTTTCCCCTGCGTGAGCTGCTCCGTCACTGCCGTGAGCCCCAGGGGGAGCACGGGTGGGGTGGGAGAGGCACTCTCCACCCACCCCTTCCCCACCCCTGAGGGAGAGACAGAGACAGAGAAATAGACATAGAGACAGAGAGAAACAGGCAGAGAGACAGACATAGAGACAGAGAGAAACAGAGGCAGAGAGACAGACAGAGAGGGACAGATGGAGACAGAGACAGAGATGAAGAGACAGAGACAGAGATACAGGTAAAGAGACAGAGGCAGGCCCGGGCCCTCCCAGGATTGGGGAAGGCCACTCTACTGGGGAGAGGTGGCTCACAGGCCACTGGTTAGGCCTCACTTGCGTGGGGGTGGGGGTGAGGGCTCCTATGGCCTCGGGGCCGCATCTGTGTTGGGGGCCTCTGTGAGCTCTGGTTCCCGCATCACCAGGTGACCGTCACTTTGCGTCCTTCTCGGGCTATCTCACGTTCCCCCATTTCAGAGGGGCCCGAGGGTGGGACGTAGATGGTGCCCAGGTTGCGGATGGTACAGGGTGGCGTGAAGGTGACTGTGACCCCATTCTCGCTTCCTTGGCTTCTCCATCAGGGTCTGGAGGTCCCGGATGTGCGGTGAGTTCAGTGCTGGCACCTGCCTTGGGGATCTCTGAGTGAGGAGGCTGTGGGAGAGCCGGTTCCGGCGGGTGCCTGCGGGGAGGTCTGTGCTGCGGGAGCTGAGGGACGTGGCGACAGGGAGTCCCTGGCGAGGCCCCGGTGCCCGCAGGCAGATCCCAGAGGATCTGAAGGCCCGTGGGGCATGAGACCGAGTTGCAGAGAGGCCCCCGAGAGACACAAACCTCCATCCACACCAAAACCCGTATCGGAGGCTTGTGGTGGCTTCATTCATAATCGTCAAAACCTAGAAACAACCCCGATGTCCTTCAACTGGCACAAACAGTGACCAATCCACGTGATGGGACATTGCTCGGCAAGGACAAGGAATCAACTGCAGACGTCCCCGATTTACAATGATTCCGAGTATGATTTTTAACTTTATGATGGTGTGAAACCATCGTAGTTTCAGTGCAGTTTACATATTCAATAAATGACAGAAATACTCAACACTTCATTATAAAATAGGCTTTATGTGAGGTGATTTTGCCCAGCTGTAGGCTAATGTAAGCATTCTGAGCACCTTTAAGCCAGGCTAGGCTAAGCCATGACGTTCGGCAGGTTACATGTATTAAGTGCATTTTCTTTCTTTTTTGAGTAACGACTCTGGGTGCGTAATAGTGATGGGTTTATCCTTAGTCGAGGAGAGTCTGTGCTAACACGTGCACGGCGTGGCTGAGTCCCAAATGCAGCATGCTAAGCGGAAGAGCCAGACAAGCGGCTACACACCAGGATCATGTTGGTCCGACATTCCGGAAAAGGCGAAAGTGTTAGACGGAAAACAAATGAGTTGCTGCCTGGGGCCCGGGGTGGGAGGAGGAGACGGCAGAGCTGCAAGAGGGAATTGTTGGGGCGGATGGAAGTGTTTTGTGTCTTGATTACTGTAGCAGTTGCACGAGTCAGTGAATTTGCCAAAACTCATAGAATTGTAGGCTGCAGAAGGTAAATTTTACTGCATGTAAATTATCCCTCCATCCCTGAAAAAAGCCCTCCAAACTAATGACAACTAAAAGTTACAGTTAGGTTAGTGTTTGTAGTGATGCTGGGAAATTGCCAGGGTGAGATGGAGGAGGAGGAGGAGGAGGAAGAAGAGGAGGAAGCAGGCTGGGGCTGAGATTCAGAGTGACCCCACACAAGGGGTGAGTTTGAACAATCTGTATTCCCCATATGAGGCCTTCTCTGCCTGCTGGGAACCTCTGAGGGTAAGGGACAGTACTTCTGGTACATTCTGTGGGGACACCAGGGATGCTGCAAAGGAGAAGAAATCATACCTGCTGTCCTCTTATGCCACTGACCTGTGGCCATTCTGACCAGAGGGGAGCCAGGGAGGGGGCAAGGGGATGGAATAGAACCTGGTCGGAGACTGAATTTCAGAGCTGGCTCTGCTGCTGTCTAACGCAGCCTCATCTGCACAATGGGGACAACAGTCCACACCTCGCAGAGTTCAGTGAGGGATAGACGAGTTGACCTTGTGAGAGCCCCGAGCCCCGTGTGCGTGTCGACTTGCAGGGGTGGCCGCCAGCAGGCAGGGTTTGAATTCCTGACCCACTTCTTAGAAGCTGTGTGACCTTGGACAACTGTCTTAACCTTCCTGGGCCTCAATTTCCTCATTGATAAGCTGAGATTTTATGGTCCCATAAAATTGTGGTGAGGATTCAATGACTATGAAGACCTGAGCCCTGGGCCTGGCACATAGTGAGCATTCAGGAAGAGCTACCCTATTACCCTAGGGTTGCCAAATCTAGAAAAAGAAAATAGGACTCTCCATTAGTCTGGAATCGCAGATGAATAATGAATACTTTTTTGGCATAAGTATGTCCCATGCAATATTTGAGATATACTTATGCTAAAAAAATCATTCATGACACTATCATACTAAAAGGAATATTGGTTATTTATCTGAAATTCACATTTAACCAGATGCTCTGTATTTTACCTGGCAACCCTGCTACCAGGGGACGTGGATTGGGGGTAATAGGAGGATGGGACTAAGTGTGAAGGTGAGTGGAGGGTGAGTGATCTGCTTTTTTACCCTCCCCTGCGGCCAGAGTCATCCATGGACTTGACCTGGAATCTCACCTCCTTCAGGAAGCCCGGGTGACGCGGGGACCAGACCGCCTGTGCAATCCCCGTCCTGCTTTTGTGCAGGCCCAGGGCTGCCAGCTGGTGTCACCGTAACTCACTCCTGGGCTGGGGCAGCTGCTGGCTGTTCTGAAGTCATTACTCTCGTGTGAGCGTGTCCCTGAGGGCAGCCGCCGGGCAGGGTGGTCCCCAGGCCGTGGGTGCGGCGAGCGCGGCGGAGCCTCGGTGCTGGAGGCTGGTGGCTGAGTGGCAGCGCTGCTCTTACATAATCGGTCTCTCCTCCTTTCTCTTTCCAGAGCCAGATTTCACGCTGAGCAGCTGCAGTCGGAGGAATCAGAGAAAGCGCCACCCGGCCCCAGATTCCAAGGGGCCTGCCGGGGACTGTCTCCTCCTCGGGAAGGGGGACCCCGAGGCTGCATCTCAGACCAGCTCCTGGGCTGCCATGGGACTCTCGGCCGCCGCCCCCCGGCTGTCCTCCGTGCTGCCAGGCAGATAAGGGCGGCTGCTGCCCCAGGAGCACCTGCCCTCTCCGCTGCCTGGCTGATCCTTCAGGGCCAGCCCTTCCCTGACCTGGTGGCCACCTTTGCTGACCCGAGGCCATGTAGGCTCCACTCGGGCCTCTGTGGACACACTGCCGGGGACAGCACCTCTGCTCTCTGGGGACCGCAGCGCACCACCATGCCCCGGGGCTTCGCCTGGCTACGCTGTGAGTAACCGGGGTCCCTGGGGACCTGCCCTGGAGGCATTGGTCCAGAGCTGGGCTCTGCCGTAACCATAGCAACCGGGGCATCTTGCTGGTGAGAAGTTGAGATGCTTCCCAGCTTGACAGCTGGTGTCCCTGGGGACTCCCATGGCTGCCCTCTGCTCTGGAGCTGACCCCAGGCAAGCAGGGTGTGAGGCTTGGGCTGGTGGGCACAGACTGTGGGGTGGCTGTAGGATGGGGCAGGTGGCGACATCGCACCTTTCCTGGGTGGAGGCAGTGGTGGCCAAGAGAGCATTTTCAGCCTCCCTGGGTGTGGCCAGTGGGGTTGGGGCAGGGACACGTGAAGGCTGCCAGGGACCCAAGACCTGAAGGAGAAGTGTGGAGGATGCCTGGGGAAGGCAGCCTGCTCCCCTCTGCCCCTCCATACATAACAGAACAAACTTTAAAAGCAGAAAGATACCAGTGTTGTCAGTAAAAAGAAAAATAAGTTGAAATGAGGACAGAATAAAAAGGGGGATCTGGAAGCCTTTCGTGCCTCCTGGGTGGGAGGCCAGACCGAGATCTCTCCAGTCACCAAGATTCGATGTAATTGACTCCAATTCAGCACATTTTTCTGGAGCCGCCCACGTGCCTGCTGGAGAGTCACTGCCATGACAACAGGGACCTTGTCTGTCTCGTACCTCTGTCTTCACAGCCTGGCACAGAGGCACAGGGGCTGCCGGAGGTCGGGCTTTGAGCCTGCAAGGGACTCAGAAAAGAATGGGGTCCACCCTGGCCCTCGTGGCACAGTGTCAGGACATTTGGGACGGGTGGGAGGAGCCAGCCGGACCCAGAGTTCCAGAAACGTCCAGGTCATGAGCAGGGGCAGCACGTGGGTGAGGTGCTCCTGGAAATGGCCTTGCCGGCAGGGCCGTGTCCACCACGCAGGGACACTGGGGTGGTGCGGGGTGGTGCTCCAGGCAGAGGGGGCGTTATGGGCAAAGGCTCAGCCCGGGACCGTGACAGGCCGGGCTGGGGAGATGGTTTGGGCCCAGGTGGCTGAAGCCCTGAAAGCCAGGCAGGGAGTGTGGCCTCCTCGTCACAGGGCGTGCTGGAGGATTACAGAGCGGGGTGGGCCTGGTGCTCGGGGTTACTCTGCTTTCGAAGATGAGTCTGGCAGTGCTTGCAGCTTGTAGGACTTGCCGTGACCCCCTCCTCCGGGCAGTTCTGGAGGTGGAGCGAGAGCGAAAGGGCGAGATGGGGGCAGGAAGCTCCGGGGGGCAGATCTGAGGACCTGGCGGGACTGGCGGAGGGGGCAGAGCAGAGGGGCTGGGTGCTGGGGAACGTCTCTCACAGTTCTGGAGAACGAGTGTGAAACGTGAGCATCACCAGGGCCACGCTCCCTCCGGCAGGCTCTGGAGGAGAAGCCTTCCTCTCCCAGCCCCTGGTGGCCCCGGGCACTCCTTGGCTTGTGGCAGCATCATTCTGATTGGCCTCGGCCTTCACGTGCCTTTCACTCTGTGTGTCCCTGTGCCTTCTCCTCTTCTTACAAGGACACAAGTCACTGGACTTGGGGCCTTCCCTAAATCCAGCATGACCTTGAGATTGCTTAATTTTGTATGCAAGGACCGTATTTCCAAACAAGGCCACATTCCGAGGTTCCGGGTGAATGTGGATTTGGGGGCAGGGAATGCTATTCAACCCACCTCACAGGCTCAGATTTGGTCCCTAGGGGTGGGGGTGTCAAGCCTCATTTCTCATTGCACAAAGGGTCATGTCAGGGAGGGGGCTCGTCCCCCCCACTGCCCACTCCAGGCCAGGGAGCCAGGAATGGGACTCACACTGACCTTTCTTCAGCCGCTTCTTACGGCTTCCGGGTCCTTACCCCTGGAGGGAGGGGACAGGGCGGCCTCCTGACCAGGGTCAGGGGTTGCATTGGCTGTGCAGCTCTTGGGTGCAGAGACTGCGGAGGAGAGTGGCCTCGAGATTAGCTCAAGGCTCTGCTGGCCCTGCCCGGTCCCCCGTTTGTCCGCCTGTTTCTCTGGGTAGAGGCAGCAGAGAACTTAAAATTAGCAATGGTGGTCAGCTGCAGACTGACGGGAGGGCCGCCCAATTTGGGGAAGGCGGATGTCTATGGGCAGCGTTTGTGAGGTGGCCTGTGTGTCCGCCTGTGCCAGGCCGAGAGGGTCAGTGTCACTCCAAGACATAATCCCGGCCCTGAGGGCCCCAGGACGGAACACAGAGAAGGGCGGCTGGCGTAGGCCTCGGGGGAGGAGTGGGCAGCCGGTAGTGACAGCCACATGAGACAGAAGACCCAGTGTGGACAGAGATACTGATTTTGGTTTTTTTTTTTTTTTTTTGAGACAGAGTCTCACTGTGTTGCCTGGGCTAGAGTGCCGTGGTGTCATCCTAGCTCATAGCAACCTCAAACTCCTGGGCTCAAGCGATCCTCCTGCCTCAGCCTCCCGAGTAGCTGGGACTACAGGCATGTGCCACCACCCCCGGATAATTTTTTCTATATATTTTTAGTTGTCTGATTAATTTCTTTCTGTTTTTAGTAGAGACAGGATCTTGCTCTTGCTCAGGCTGGTTTCGAACTCCTGAGCTCAAACAGTCCGCCCGCCTCGGCCTCCCAGAGAGCTAGGATTACAGGCGTGAGCCACCGCGCCCGGCCGAGATACCGATTTTTAAAGAAAATAAGAAATTGGATTTTTATGTGAAATCCTTGTGCCCTAGAGGTGGCCCTTGCTTGGGACACCAGCTTACAACTGTCGCTCTAGATCCATGGTTCTCAAAGTGTGGTTCCCGGCCAGCAGCAAGAGCTTCACCTGGGAACTTGGTAGAAAGGCAGGTTCTCTGGCCCTGCCCCCGATGACCTGTGCTTGCCTGTGCCCCCCGCCCCCCGCCCTGCCCCAGGGATTCCGACGTCTGGGCCCACTTGTGCTTGAGGCAGATCCCCAAACGCACGTGTGAAGTGTCCGGGGAACTGGACCGTGTTGTGGACTCGCGCCCACGTCAAGGTGGTGAATGAACTGGGCAGGTGGTGCTGGAGACAGAGATCGGTGGGGGCTGGCACAGGCGGGAGAGACCCTGGGGGGCGGGGGGCGAAGAGTCCTGGTGGGACTTTGAAAGAGGTCTGCCCTGGGAGAGGGTACTGGGCAGGGCAGGGTGTGAGGCAGGAGGCAGGAGTGATCTTGATCTGCATGGTGGGTGCCAAGCTGGGAGGCTTTGCGACTCAGAGACCAGGCAGAAAGCAAGCAGATGTCGAAGGGGCAAATGCTGGTTCGGTTTGCGTGTGTTTGTTCCTCTGGCCCAATAGTGTGTCAGACACGTGGGAAGACAGGGTGGGGAGGAAGTGCAAGATGATTGACAACTTACAACTCTGCAAAAAATGTGAGTGTCAGAGTTCTGCGGGGCAGAAGGGCTGCTGCCCACACAGGACCCAGGACCCGATTAGACCTGAGGGTCTCAGCTGAGTGAGGGGTCTGGCAGGAGCAAGGGCTGGGCAGCGGGACAGGGCAGGGCTGGAGAAGGAGGTGGAGACAGGTGGTGTGGCCCCGGCCAGTGGGGCCGTAAGTACAAAAGTCTTCTAGGTGCCAGGAAGTGAGCGGGGAAAGTCCAATCCGTAATTCCTGCTAACCAGGGTGGATCCGGGAGGTGACTCAGCCTGCTTGGCTATTTTGCAAAAATATAAAAAATAAATAAAAGGATAATTACTGCTTTTGACTATAATAATAAATATGGATTATAGAACATAAAAAAGTCTTACAAATGCAAAGAAAAACATTTTTAAAAATCTCCCATAGAGATTTAGTATATTTCTTTCCACTGTTTTCTAAACACATGTGTATATAATGATCACAATTAAAATCATGCTATGTTCACAGATAGTGCTGAATCATGTTTTTAAACTTCACTAAGCATACTGTATTTTTCTCATCACATAAACACATTTTTGACCAGTGATTTTTTACTGCCTACATTTATTATTATGGACTGTCTAGGCCATTGACAGGCTTTCCCTATTAAAAAATAACACTGCATGGCTCACGCCTGTAATCCTAGCTCTCTGGGAGGCCGAGGCGGGCGGATGAGCTCAGGAGTTTGAAACCAGCCTGAGCAAGAGCAAGACCCCGTCTCTACTAAAATTAGAAAGAAATTAATTGGACAACTAAAAATATATAGAAAAAATTAGCCGGGCATGGTGGCGCATGCCTGTAGTCCCAGCTACTCGGGAGGCTGAGGCAGGAGGATCGCTTGAGCCCAGGAGTTTGAGGTTGCTGTGAGCTAGGCTGACGCCACGGCACTCTAGCCTGGGCACCACAGTGAGACTCTGTCTCAAAAAAAAAAAAAAAATAACGCTGCAGAATCAATCTTTGCCTACGCATCTGTTGGTTATGTCTCTTTTTTTTTCTTTATGATTTATTCCTAGAAGTGAGTTTAGTAGGTCAAAGGGTGTGGAAATTTTTAAGGCTTAGTGATTTGAAGGGCGTGGACATTATTAAGTCCATTAATAACAAAAATTGCCAAATTGCTTTCTAGGATGAGAGCATCTGCCTCACCACTTTGCCAGTGTCATTAAAACAAAATTAGCTGGGCGTGGTGGCGCACGCCTGTAGTCCCAGCTGCTCAGGAGGTCAAGGTGTGAGGATCGTTTGAGCTCAGGAGTTTGAGGCCAGTCTGGGCAACATAGCAGGACCCTGTCTGTATAACACTAACACTAACTAACACACACACACGCACACACACACACACACACACACACACACACACACACTTTCCATTTGGATAGATGAAAAATGGCATCTGATTGTTTTAATGTGAATTTGTTTATCTTATTAGTGAGGTTGATTTTTTTGGATACGTCTCTGGTCCATTATATTTTGTTTTTTCTGCACTGACGGACTTAACTCTTACTCATATTCATTGCAAATTGTCAGATTTTTTAAAAGTCTGTTCAGCCTTGCAGAAGTCACCAAGGCTGTTTCTGAAGTCACAGTGACCCCCAGTGGTGACAGTGGGTAATGTTTCAGAAGGCAGCGGCTCATTTGTTGCAGAAGAAACCACCTGCGTGAGACCTGCTTAGCATCCCAGAATGACCATCCGGGAAAGCGCTGCAGGCCTACTGGCACGTTTAACTGAGAGGGGACGTTAAGGTCGCGTAGAGCAGGGAAGGAAGTGGCTTGGGTGACCAAAGAGTCATTTGTAGAGTTGAAACCAGAATCCACATCTCCTGAAACCCTGGATGGAAAATCTAGCAAAAGGCTTTGAAAATGTCACCCCTGGATGAGGGGCTGAGGTTGTCCTGGATGGGAGGGTCCATGTGGACTGCACTCGTCTGCCTGTCCCTGCCGTTCTGCGCCTGGCTCCACCTCTCCCACACGTCCCTGTACCCCGTGCATTGGGATGAGGTCACGTTCAGCTTTGCGCTCCGGGGCAGTGTGGGTGCAGCGCAGGGGCTGACGTGCTCCTGTTGGGTGTGGTCCACAGATCTCGGCATCCTCCTCGGCATGGCCCTGGAGGGGTTGGAGGTGTGGTCCCTGACCCAGAGGGAGGAGTGTGCCGTCACCGGTTTTCTACGGGACAAGCTGCAGTACAGGAACCGGCTTCAGTACATGGTAACCACATGGGCACCAGCTGTGTCCCTGTTCCCCAGCCCCTGGCTTACCTGGCACAGGCTCTGGACGTTCAGGGCCCCTTCTAGGACCTGTGTCAGCCCCGAGCTTACCGTGGCCTGTTCCTGTGCGTTTTCCCACACCCAACCCATGGGCCGGGTCTGTGTCTCCCAGGGCTTCCACCCATCCTTGATCTCACCTTTGACTCCACCTCCACGTGGCACTGGCCCTGTGACTCAGCAATGGGCTCTAGGAGCTCTTTGGGCAACCCAGGCACTTACTAGCAGGGGAGATAAAGAGCTAGAATTTGGGATGTTCGGTTCTTTTTTTTTTTTTTTTTGAGACAGAGTCTCACTCTGTTGCCAGGGCTAGAGTGCCATGGCATCAGTCTAGCTCACAGCAACCTCAAACTCCTGGGCTCAAGCGATCCTTCTGCCTCAGCCTCCCGAGTAGCTGGGACTACAGGCATGCGCCACCATGCCCGGCTAATTTTTTATATATATATTTCAGTTGTCCAGCTAATTTCTTTCTACTTTTTTAGTAGAGACAGGGTCTCACTCTTGCTCAGGCTGGTCTCGAACTCCTGAGCTCAAAGGATCCGCCCACCTCGGCCTCCCAGAGTGCTAGGACTACAGGCGTGACCACTGTGCCCAGCCCACACATTGTTCCTATACCATGTTTTTTCCCTTGCTTTCATTAAGTTTCTTTAAAAACATAAAAACAAGGACCCAGATGAAGACCGTGGGGGCTACGCTGGGAGGGAGCGCATTTTATAAACTTGGGCGTTTTGACCATTTTTACGTATAAAATTCAGTGGCATTAATTACATTCCCAGTGCAGCCATCACCCCTGCCCATTTCCAAAACCATTTCCGTGTTGTGCCTGGGTGAGGGGTGGCATCTGGGACCCTCCCTGTGCCTATAGAGAAGTTGAGAAGTAGCTCCTGGGCCCAGGAAGCCTGTCCTCCTTCCATGATTAGGGGCAGCCCCGGCCGAAAGCCCCCTGTGGCGTGGTGCCATCTTGTGCCTGGTCCTGACGATTTCCTCCCTTCCAGGATGTGGAGGGCAGCCCCAAGGTGGAAGCGGTGTTATCCCTCCTGAACACCCCCGGGCTGAGCCTGAAGCTGGTGCGGCCCAAAGCCCTGCTGGACAACTGCTTCCGGGTCATGGAGCTGCTGTACTGCTCTTGCTGTAAGGAGCTGCCAGGGGAGGGGGCAGGGGTTGGGGAGGAGGCTGGGCAACAGGGCCAGGTGGGCGGGCAGATCCAGTGCCCTCTGTTCCCCTGGGTACTGGGACAACATGGGGCTTAGTCTGGTGGGGAGGGTGGCTTTGACCACTCTTGCAGTCTTTTCACCCTCCTTCTCTTGTCCCTTGCAGGTAAACAAAGCTCCGTCCTAAATTGGCAGGACTGTGAGGTGCGGAGTCCCCAGCCCTCGCTGCAGTGTGAGGCTGCCAGGCTGTACTCTCCGGCCCGGCAGCTCCCCACCTCCCCGCCCCACTCCCTGGGCGAAGGCCTCCTGCCCTGAGCAGCCCGTGTGGGGACCCTGCTGGGGCTGCGCTCCCACCTACCAGCGGGGCCTGAGACTTCGAGAGGTGGAGGCGAGAGGACCCCAGCAAGGGTGTCTTTCCTTTGAGGGGGACCCTGTGCCCGAGCAGCGCTGAGCTTCCTGCCTTCTGTACCTGTCATGGTCACACCTGGAGTGGCCGGAGGCTGAGGGTTCCTGCAGGTGGCCTCCTCCTCCATCCCAGGTGGTGCTGAATGTGTCCCGTGTCCTCAAGGTACACCTGGGCGGTGGGTAGGAGCGGGGGCGCCGGTGGAAAGTGGAGACAAGTGCCACGTCTTGCCACAAGGGATGCTCTACCAGCTCCTTTTTTCTATTAAACACCCCGCTGTATTTTGGTCCGGTTTGGTTTGCTTTGCATCTGGGAGGGTGATCGTGGAGGGGTTGGGAGCTGGCCAAGTGCAGGAGGGGGAAGGGGCTGAGGAGTTGGAGTGGACACAGCCTCCACCAGCTGGGGGTGTCTCGCCATCATCCCTTGCTCTGGCTGTCCCCAGCAGGGACAGAGCAGAGGCCTTTCAAAGACCCAGGCTTGGGTGGAAGTCCTGGCCAACCTGCCCCTGCCACACAGACCTGAGACCCCTGGGAGCCCCGAGCCTGGTTCCCTGGGGGTGGGGGCCGCAGCCCCGGGAAGCCAGGCAGAGGCAGGCGTTAATTACAGTACCACTTTATTAATACTGGAATCTTCACAGTGCATTTGTTACTTGTAGCAGTGACTAATTTAAGTCAAGGGGAGGATGGCGTGGAGGGGGTGGGGAGGAGAAGAGAGTTTATCCAAAAACCGACAGAAAGAAAAGAAAAACACCATGGTGCAGATGGGATGGAGGGCTCGGGGGCGAGGAGAGAAGGTGAGTAGGAAGCTGGAGGGCGCTGTGGGTGGGAAAATAAATTAAAAAAAGGAACAAGTTAACAACAGCACCAGAAAAGTTACTTCAGTCAAAAGACGCTTTTGAAAAGAATATTCCTCTGTACAGAATGAAAAATAAAACGAACGTAAAGATGTCCCCCAAACCAAAGTTTGTGATGCAGGATGGGTGGCTTGGATCCCAAGGGGGCTGGGCCTACGAGGTGGTCACTGAAGCCACCGGGGTGGGGGTGTCATGGGGACAGCAGGGCTGGGAGAGGGGGGGAGTATGTACAGCCCCGTGGGGGAGGGGGAAGTGGGGGGACTGTGCCACACCTGCCCTCCTCCCATCAAGACCTCTGAAGCCCAGGTGATTTCCCCCCCCCAAGGTAGGAGGAGGGCTCTTCTCGCAGGGCCTCTGGGATCCAGCCACCTGGTACCTGCTGCCCGTCCTGTTCCCACCACACATCCTGCTCCCTGTGCCCACCTGGGCAACCCCCCCCACCGGCGCAGCCCTGGGGAGAAACACAGCAGAAATGCCACCCAGGGATCCCCAAACTGGTCACCTGCTCTCCTGGCCCCCAAACCTGGGGCTCTGGCATCAGTCTGAGCTCAGACTGGCGACTTGCAGGGCCCATTCCTCCATCAGCACTGCCTGATGGGGCTCCGTGCACACCGGGGCATCCTTGGTGCCCCAGACCCACCTGCTGCCCCACAGTGACCCCAGTTCCTGGCATAGAAACACCTGGGAGGACCCAGGACAGCTGCTTTCCTGACCCCAGGGAGGCCCCTGCTGCTTTCTCCTGACACGCAGGACCACCTGGACCCCTTCCACTTGCCCTAGGTCACATGCTTTTACCTGCTGAGACTTGGCGTGACTCGGTGCGTGGGGTTGGGGGGGTACCTGCTCCTCACCCCCACGGCCAGCACGGCCGAGTGTCCTGGGAAGGCATCTCCTCTGGCAACAGAGAGTCAAAGCCACGCTTCCCAGACACGCCGCCACCCCAGCCGACAGGCAGGGCCCCCTCCAGTCTTTCTCTGTCTACACTCAAGACGCAGGAAAGAATTGCAGCTTCCCTCTGGCTCTGGGGGAGCCGATTCTACCCTGCTCCTGCCATGGGCCTGCCAGGCCACGTGGGTGCCCCGTCCCGCAGGCCTTCCCAGACACACACCCTGTATCGCCACCTTGCCCACA